AGCAATAATAAAAATTCAATAATATTAAATTTTTATGCGCGCGAAATTATTGCAGGCTGCTCATAGCATTCGACATGTTTGGGGCTGGAATGCCCTTCCGGAGATGGCAATGGAGAATGAAGCACGGACATGGGAATGGCTTTGCGAATGGGCAGAGGGATGGGCAGCGGGATGGTGGAGTGGAGAGCCTGGCCCTGGGCCTCATCAATGGCATGGGACTGGAGGTTCAAGTACAATAACAATTAGCATTCATTTGCTCAGACCCAGGAGTCTGTTCATTTGTCAGTTAGCACCTTCTGCGGATCCCTACCCTACTCCCTCTCTCTCTCTCTCTCTTACTCGATCTCCCTGTTCCCTTTTCTTTCTGTTATGACAGCTTCAGTCTTCGTTTAGTCTTTCTCTCTCTCTCTCTGTCTCTCTCTTTTTTCGCGCGATCTCTTTCTGGTTTGTGATTAAACTTTAACTAATTTGGTGCTCCAGAAGAAACCGGTCAGTGTCTTGGCCAAGTCCAAGTGCCACCCTGTCCCGTTCCCCCTTTGGGGCTAAGCGAATGAATTATGTTATTTGAAATTAGTTTGTGCCTGGCTTTCAAAACTCCTCCAAGTTGCACTCACACACACACAGCTCTACTCCCGGACCAGTCCCAGTCCCAGTCCCAGTCCCAGTCCCAGTCCCAGTCCCGATCCCAGTCCCACAATCTGTGCAGCCTGGCAGCGCCTGCGGAGTAATCAGGTTAATTTTAATATGTTTTGTATGTGGTGTGCCCCTGCCCCTTTTCCCTGACGTTGCCGTCGTCGGTTAATGGAAAAATATCTGAAATGATGTTGGCCAGGATGCCTTTTGTAATTAGCAGCCATCGCAACGAGAGCCAACCCCGTCCACCAAAGCTACAAAGTTTGCACGCTCTTAATTACTCAACTCAACTCCCTATCTCACCCTGTCCTAACAACTCTTTGAAGACATTTCAACAGTCGCATATTAGCTTGTGATTCATTAAACAAAACCATCTCAGGCACAGCCCTGAGATCTTCAATCCCTCAACTAGAAAGAAGCTTCATAGAAAAACCACTAATGATATCACGTTTAAATATAGATCTAACGAGCTTAAAATATGGAGAAAAAAAAGGATGCTCAAAGCTCAGAGACCCGCTAAATTAGAGAGTTTGAAGAGCATCTGGGTAGCGTTTCTACCTCTACGCGTAGAGTATCAGCCGACGATGTTCTTTATGGCACTTTGAGGCGATAATTTCCATGTTGTTTGCTTTATTCAACTATTTTAGCAGCCGTTTTTTTTCTGTAGGCCGCTGACAAGTTTCGGAACGTAGCTGAAAATGTGGCCAAAGTTTGCCCCCTGGCATCATGGCAATATATTAGACGTAGACGCGGGACGAAAGATTTGCATTTAATTACAAGCGTGGATCGGAGTGCAGAGAGCCGTGTGGCGGAGGCTGGTGAAAATACACACAAAAGCCAAAGTGTAGATCAAGTTGGGACTGGCTGGGGCCTGCGTGTGTGTTCCAGGCCAAATGGAATGGCAAATGATAATTACAGAAAGCATGTAAGCTCTTGGAAGAGCACTCTTGCAACGCAGTGGTGGGGGGGTCAGAGGTACAGACAGCCATGTCAAGAGGCAGACAGGAGAGGGGCAGACAATGTGCTAGAAAACGTTAATTTCAAATTTATGTAGAGCGTCGAGTTTCCTCCTCCCCGACTAAGCTGATGATGTTGCAAAGCTCCTGCCCCCCTAACTCCTCTGCCCTCTTGCTCTGCGGAAGAAGTTTCCCAAAGATGCCCGCAGGGCGCGTGCTGAATTTAATCAGTTTGCTGGCCAGGCCGGTTCACTGGAGCTCTGCCAGCAATGACAATCAAGCCAAGATGGAAAGTGGGCAGTGGCTGAGAGTTGGAGAAAGAGAGAGGAGAGGGAGAGGAGAGGCCACTCCTGCCATATGCCCTTCCCTCCTTGCTGAAGCCTTGTCACTGCTGCTGCTGCTGCCGGGTAACGTAAATTAGACGAAGACTCGACAGTGCAACATTTAACGGTAATACGCTTTTATAGCTGCCGGTAAAATGCAGCACAAAATTAGACATAAAAGACAAAGACAGAGAGTGCCGCAGAGACAAAGAGTGAAAGAGAGCGAGACAGTCGAGAGACAGAGATGGACAATGTGCAAATTTTCGAAAATTAAGTTGATGAGTTGATGCGAGGAAGAGCAAACGGGAGACAGGAACTAGACATAGACATAGACATGGGGGACATGGACACAGATACACTGAAGTGCCTGGCAAAGTGCATAGATGTGGAAGTGGAAGTGGAAGGCCTTCGCCGGCACTTAAATATTGACCAAAATTGGCTAAAACCAACAGCAATGTTGTTGTTGCAACAACAATCACCGCTAGGCAGATGAACGATGAGCAAACTGATGAGCATCTTCAAGATGTGCGAAACTTGGATACTCTGTTGCATGTGCAGCGGCAATAATTTGGCAATAGAAATCGGTGTTAACATCGGAATTATTTCGAGTGTTTCCAAGGAACTGTCAAAGGAAATTTTGGACCAACAATTTACAGGATTATGTTTACATTTATGTATACATTCTTTACCCTTCTCTATGGCGAATATCTCTAAGCATTATAGCCATATACCCTAACAGATCACATTAAGCGAAACAGCAACAAATTCATCGAATGGCGTAGGCCGTTGCAGTCTGTTTGGGTTGCTGCTTTGGCGAAGTGGACTGGCCTGAAGTCATCAGGCGGCTAGAGCAGGGGGGGCAGTTAGACGACTACGACGACGTCGACGACGTCATCGACACCTCCGATAGCTGAGGCGGGTGGGTGGCTAGACAGTGGCCGGCAACAGCCACAGCAGCAGCAGCATCCGAATCAGCGTCAGCAGAGGAAGCCACAACAGCAGCAGCAGCAGCAGCAGTCAGTGGTCGCTGAGGACGTATCGGCAGCCTGTTTGGATCCGTCCGTCTAGGACAGGCCGACAGCGACCGGTTGAGGACCGCACGAGTTTCTGGCTGCATCTTCTGCCCTGTCCTGGCCTCCTCGATTGGGGGCCAGAGGACACAGAGGCACAGGAGGATGGGGGGGCGGCTTGTCTAGTGACTTGACTGTAACCTCATTGACCAGAAAAATGCAAGCAGCGACAAGAGCAACAGCAACCTAAAGAAAGAAGGGGAAGCACTCGAAGTCGATGTTTTGAATACACTGCCCCCAAGAATATTTAATTTCTTTTGGAATTATGGAATGTAGTCATAGAATTTTGTGTTAAAATTGAAAGAGATGTAAGATTTAAGAAGCTGTAGCTGTATCTTCAGAATCAAACAGGGTTTTCTATACCCCAAAAAGTTATCTTATCTTCTTATAATGGAAGAATTAATCATTTCCTGGTTCCAAACAATTGCCGCAAGTCGCATCGACCCTCTGTGAAGGGTATGCCAGGCGCAGACAACAAAACATCAAATGTGAATTAGTGCAAAAGGTAGCCGAGGAGCAGGGATCGCTGGTAGCGGAGGAAGAGAGCCCCCAAGAAGCAGCACAAGACGAAGCAGAGGGAGCAGAGGGTTTTTTCTGTGGTGGCGGTGGGAGTGGGGGAGTGGAGATCTGGAGTGGGCAGTGGGAGAGTGGGAGTGGATGGCAGTGGGCAGAACAACGCAAAACGCTTCCATATTTATTGGCACTTTTCGGTTTTCTGAATGCGGTGCTATTCAAGAGGGTTAGGGGGAGGATGGCCGAGTGGACACTCGTCTGTTGTGGGAGTCCACACGGAGCAGAGAGAAGGCTGAAGTGTGGCTTGAGTGGGAGAGGAATTCGAGTGAGGTTTCTGCAGCAGCAGCATTGACTGTTGCTGTTGCTGTTGCTGTGGATTGGCATTTTAATTATTAATTGCCAGCAATAGTTGTCCACCCCAGCAGGAGTAGATTGCAGAAGGGGGGTACCACCGGACGAACATCTACTGCGGCAAGTGGCAATTGGAGCTAGGACCCTTGATCCATTCGCTCTTTCCTTCCGTCTGCGAAGAGGTCAAATTTACTTGCGCAAATACTTTAAATTAATCTACCGCTGGCTTGCTCTCGGAGGAGACCCTCAACCATTTACATAAAGAATTGTCTTATTGTGAACTTATTCGATTTTTAGTCCCGTTTGATGGCAGTTCTATAATCATTTTTAACACTTAATCCTGTGTCCTAAGTCCCGTTTGATGGCAGTTCTATAATCATTTTTAACACTTAATCCTAATCTTTTATATTTTGCAGAATTTTTCAGAAATAATTGAATATATATTAATAGTCGCACAAACAATTTTCCACCCGCCTTGGCTTCGTTCCCTTTCCCCACCGCAACAACACTTCTAATAAATGCTCAAATTTGCACTCACAATAAGCACTCATGTACACACAAAACTACCACTCACTCGCAGTCGAGCGCGCTCTCTCTCTCTCTGGCGCTCTGGCTCTCTGTCTCTCCCACTATAGCTCACTCTTTCACTCGGTGGGCCTGCTTCGTCAAGTGTTCGTCCAAACTAAACTTCTCCTGCCGTTCGAGGCTAGCAGCAGCGGCGTCAGCAGCAGCAGCGCTCATTTGTGCGCGTAATGACGTCATTATTTTTATTTTAACTGCCATCGACAGAGGGGGGAGGGGAATAAGGGAAAAGTGCATGTACTGTTGCTGCTCCTGCGCACACCCCCTCGATGGTGTGCTCTCTCTCGCTCTTGCCCTGCCGCTACCGCTGGCGCTCTCTCGCTCTCGCTTGCTCCTGCATCTGCTTGTGGAAGGGGGGTGAGGTGGGGAAGACAGACATGATTCGGCTTGCGCTTCGCTTCGGAAAGAACGGTCTTGTTTGCTCGTGTTTTGTTTCTCGTAAGTTGCACTCGTCGACTCTGGCTGGCCGACCCGACCGTTCCACGCGACGACACGATTCGATTCGACTCGACTCGACTCGACGACTACTTATGCTGATGATTGCTGGGGGTCCAAGCGCCCGTCTGGTGCGCCGCACGTTCATTCAGTCTGCTGTGGACAACGTTGCACGACGACGAAAGCGGACGTCGCGTGGTAGTAGCAAGAACCAAACAAATCAACAAACAAACATTCTCTCTCCCACACACAAGTGCACTCTGGAGAGCAGCGCGTGCCATTAAATACTATCTGCAGCATTCAATAGATGCAACTGCAACGGAGAGATTCCGAAATTCCGAGATCCGCGTTTCAGATTCGAGATATTTTCCTCACTTTACGCGCGCGCCACAAAGGCATCGCGCCCCGGCTTGCAACGTCGCGTGTGTGGCAGACGATGATCCTTAGTTGATCTTGACTCTAGTGTCTGTGTTTGTGTGTTACAGTGTGTGCGAGTGATAGCCATCTCCCAGAAGATACTCTTAATGAATTGTTATCTAACGGATGCTTGGGATTTGGATTGTGACTAAAAATCTAAAGAATCTCTAAGAAAATTGTGAACAAATTTTGGAAAATCTAATCAACTTTACAACTGCTTGAAGAACACCTGCACAAAACGGTAAATAGCATAATCATATTATCAAAATTCTTAATTTCTAGCATACTTTTGGGTCTGGAAATTGGTTCCTTTCGAATTTATATTAGTGTTTCCATCCATAAACCGTATGAAAGTCAATCAAAGTGAAGTGCTCAATAGAAACATTAAAATGCATAAAGTCTTTACAGCCCCATAACCATATTCATAGTTCATTAAGTTTCCATTATGCTCTCAAAAGACAAAAAAAAATAAATAAAAAACATTTTAAGCCTCTCACGCATTTCGGTCGCGATTCCCATTCGAATTGTTCACATAATCGAAATGCAATTTTTATGTAAATCTCGAACCTTGACATGGTAATGTTCCTAATGCTTCCAACCAATAAACAGATAGATGCGCCTTTGGCGCTGACGGTTAATAACTTTAATTAACGTTAATTACGATCAGAAGTGGCATAAAAAATGAGCATCATTATCATCGGATCTGGGGGCAAGCACAGATTCACAAATATATTGTACGTGTGTACGTACGGAGTGCCCCCACTCGAAAATAGTCGCCTCGTTCTAATAATAAAACGAAATGTACTCGTAATACAATAAATACTAATAATGTGGCACTGGACAGTGCTGGATGGCAATTTGCAACAATAAGCTGCGGTAGCAGGCAGCAGGCGGCAGGCGTATCTCCCAGATACGCGACTGAAATTAAATCAGAATGAAATTCTACACATAAACAGTTTAATGCCACCAACCAACCACCCCACGAAAAAATTACGAAAAATCTATTACAATTGCCTTGCGGCGGCTCAGTGTCAGTTTTGTGCAAAAAAAAAAAAAAAAACTAAATGTAAGCGTATCTACGTATCTATGAGATACAATAAGCAGCAGCAGCAGCAGCGTCGTACAATTCACAGCAACAAATAGCGGCAGCAGCAACAATTGTAATAATCAGTTTCATTTCAAAGCCAGACCAACCTGCGCGATACATTTTTCCCAGTGCCACCACTGTACAGTGCACAGGTTCTACGAGCAGTTGAACCCCTCCCTCCTGCCCCTGCCACGGGCGGTGCATACTCTGGCCCGGCCTGGCCTGGCCTGGCCTGCATCTGTATCTGTATCTCAGTGCGGTGCATTGTTAGCCCTGCCGCTCGACTCGCTCATTTAATTAAATATAATTAGCTGCATTAATTGCAAATTAATACAGAGTTTAGTCTCTTTGTTGATTCGCTTTTCATTGTCGTTGCCAGGCAGAGAGGCTTTTCGACGGTTCGACTGTTCTACGGCTGTACCTGCTGCCTGCCTGCCTGCCACTTGTTATCCACGGCTACTTATAGGCGTGTAATTATTGCCCGTAAATGCAGATTTTATAGATATTTTCAAGTAGCTTCTAAGTTCTGTTAGCTCTGCTTAAGAGAAGCCAAATGGCAGCTGCTGATCCTGGTTTTCCATACATTTTCGCAGCAAATTAAATGTAAACTGTGGCTTAGGCGATTGCAAATGAAAGATAAGTGCTTATTGGAATCTCTTCATCAATTGGGAATCGATCGTACTCAGCGCTCAGCGGCACATGAATGCCCCATTCATCAGACTCGTTGAAGACAACTCTCAATGACTTACAAAAAGCCGACGGCTTTTATAATCTATTTTAATGAAAAGAAATTTCTAGATATTTATATTTGAAATTGTTGTATTCTCTCCCGACTTCAAATACAATTATCTATAAGAATGCATGCATTTTGGGTATAATGACCATTTCCAAACCTCTCTGCAATGGCTACGTGTGCGATGTATGACGTCTGATGTCCATTTGAATGCCTCATTTTGAGTGAGTGGCACACATCTTCCGCACATCAGAGAAATCCATTAAATTCGCATTGCGACAACTTTGAATGCGAAAAATAAGTAGTTGTGAAAATGGAAAAACAACCACGAAAATGATTAGATATTAATTTATAAATTAGGAATGTCTACAAGTGTTTGTACCTCTCTCTATCTCTCTCTCTGTTGCTGCCTCTAGCTTGTGTATTTTTTTTATGACAAACGGATGACGAACGCATAAAAATGCATAAAATGCAGCGGCGAACAAGCCTTAAAAATAACCAAAAGCCGGCGGCAAATTGCAATTTCCCCCGTTCCCCATGCCCCTCCTCTCTTGGTTCGTTGCGCGTCACGTTGTCACTCTTAACGTAGGCAAAGAAATCGTAAAAATCGTTAAAGAAAAAGGAAAATCGGCAATGGCAAAATGCTTAATTATGTGCCGCCGGGACATGTACACGGACTAGCTGCAGCTGCAGCTTCAGCTGCATTGCCACGCCCCCCGGTAGGCGGCCTTTTAATTAGGAATAATTAAAGTAATACTTATGGCCCATAAATGCATTCTGCATTCTGTAAATCGGAGGAGATCCGCAGAAGGCGGACACTCAAGACATTCGTCTTGAAAGGATTTCTCTCCCCACCTCACACTCCCTCTATGCCTCTTTGTTTTTGATGTGTGGCCAATTTGCAACTTGTGCAACACATTTAACTGCACTTTTATGGCCATATTGGCGGGTGGGTGGTGCGAGTGCGAGTGCGAGTACGTACGAACGTCTCTGTGAAAGGCAAAAAGCCATCGAAAATTTAATGGTATCAGAACTGGTCCTTCTGCAGCAGTCAAATCAAAAGAAAATCATTTGCTGAAATTAGAAACTTGTTGTCGGCAAAGGAAAAGTGCCATCGAATGGTCTTTGACCAAATGGTAATTTGTTGAATTTGGTCATAATACATAAACGCTTTCCATTTACATATTTTTATAATTGAACAATTTTATTTTTGGGGTTTTCTGAGTTGTAACTGGTATTTTTGTATCTTAATGAAATGTTTTGTGCGCATAAAATAATCCATTTGGACTCCATAATGTCTTTTCCAATAGCTAATGGTAATTATTTTTATTTGGTTTGCATCTATTAAGATAATATTATAAATTGACTTGCATGGATCAGGGTTGCAACTGCGAAATGAATAGGAATTGGTTGATTTATAAGCATGTTCATTTCGCATCATAAATTCATGTTTAATCCATAATTTGCTAGTACCAAATTATATAAAATAAATGTTGCAGCAAACGAAAATGAAGAGTGTTTCCATTTGGAGATGATCGCGGCACATTCTTCAACTCTTTTTGTTTTCAGGCAACCAAAAACTTGCATGCCGCACATGCCACAAAGCCCACACAAAAACACAACGGCACGCAAGTGACAGAAAGAGAGAGATAGAGAGAGTGGCAAGATAGATAGCGACAGAGATGCTGGCTCATTTAATAATGAACAATAATGAAGAGTAATAATAATAATCATTGGCCAAAAACGTGCAAAGAGAGTGGAGTGGTCCGCAGAATTACTAAATACAAAGAGAATAAGAGATACGGATACAAACAGATGATGTATGTGTATGTATATGTGTGGAGGGGATTGCTTTATAGGAGGCAACGAAATTTTATCAACGAACGCGCATCATTTCAATTAAGAAAATGTCACAAGTGTCCAAGCAGCAGAGGCCGCAACAGCAGCAGCCTAAAACACGCCAAGTGGCGCAACGGCAGCTCGCTCGGCAAAGGGAATGGGAATGGGAATGGGAATGGGGATCCCCCCGGCTGTGGCGAAATGAAAGTGCGCCCCAGTACCGCTCTGGGGATCATCGATACACTCCCCGCTTTAATGTGTTCCTTTTTGGAGCATTTCTCGTAATTAATGCGAATTGTCACACGCTAAAATGAGAACGAAGCAAACGAACGAACCTCTCTGGCAAAAATAATGTCTAAAATGCCTTCGATTCGGCTTCTAATTCATTATTGTACATTTATCGTTTGTTGGTATTGCTACTGCCTCTGCCACATAGAAATAGTGCCGTTTCCTCTTCTTAATTAGTAATTAAACAATTTATGCTTTCGCGTGAGACATTCGGCGAGCACGAGAGAAACAAAATGAAATAAGTTGAATTTTTGTGGTGACCAAAAACATGAAACCATAATTAATTCTATTCCATAAAGTATTTTGCTCAATTAGCAATTAAAAACGTGCGTGCATCGCAAAAGATGTAAAGCCCACAATTTTGGGGGGTAGTTCCTGCAGGTCCAATCATGCTTGATGGATGGATGTATGGATTGACAAAGTTACAAGATACAAACGATAAATGTAAATGTAACTGTGTCGTGTTTGGGTAATTATGTTCGGAGAGTACACTGGGGGCTAGAAATATTGGAAGATTAAATTGTTCTTTAAAGAAATTCCTATTTTTGTGTGTGTTTCAGCGATGAAACACTTTTCCAAATGCAATTTTCGGCTACATAAATTAACGAAATGGCATGGCATTCTTTCACTTATTTTTGAGGAATTTTTTTGCTTTCATTTAAGCTAATTTGATATCATGTTTTAGTGTATTTCGTTTAATTTTTGTTGATTAAATGCAATTAAAAATGTCTCCGACCTCTCTGCAACCCGGCCCCGCCAATCTCTTTGTGGACACGCGGGGCACCACTCGTTCGTCGTCAGAGATCTAGAGTTAATGAGACGCGACACAGTTGTCCAGATGTTCCACAAAAACCAGCTAATTGTGCAATTAACTGGGGAAGCGTAAGAAGAGAGTGGCAGGCCGCACTGGGCCCAGCCACATGTTGAATGGGATAGCCGCCGCAGCAGCAGCAGCAGCAGAAGCTGTTCTGGCATGGGGCAGTTGTATTAAGTGTAGAAAATCTCGAGCACTTAATTCACGCTTTGTTGAAGGTGTTGAGAGGCGGTTGGACGACTGAATCCGCCCAAGAAACTGCCCCTGGGGGTTGCTGTTGGTTGCTGAGTTTTGTGGAGAGGGGGCGGGTACTTAACAGTTAAGTAAAACCAAATGCAAAAACCGCAAATGCAAAAAAGGAACGCCGCAACTCCCCACACGAACCACGAACCCGAACTCGTATCCAAATCCTAACCCACGTAATGTGTGTGTGCGGCAGGTCCTTTTTTTCTGGTTGCCCCTTTGTATTTTATTTATTTT